CATATAACACCTAAAGCACAATCATGAAATTTTAAATGGTAAGTTTTGACTTTATTCTGGCTCTGCAAAGCCACTGCTAAAAAGGAATGAAAGATAAGCCACAGACTGAGAAGACATCTTTGCCAAACACATATCTGATACAAGGCTTGTATCCAAAATATAAAAAAAGAACTTTTAAAAACTCAACAATAAGAAAACCAAATAGCAATTTTTTAAAATGGTAAAAAGATCTGACACCTCACAAAGGAAATGGAAACAGATGGCAAATAAGCATATGAAAAGATGCTCAACATCATCACATAATCATGATTGCAAATGAAAACAATGAAATATCACTACAAAACTATTAGAATGGTTAAAGCACAAACACTGTCAATTCTAAATGCCCCAGCAAAGATGTGGAGCAACAAGAATTCTCCTCAATTTTAGGGGGGAATGTACAATGGTGCAGCCCCTCTGCATGCTCATTTGGCAGTTTCTTAAAATGCTAAACAACTCTTACTATGACTTGCCCAAGTCATGCTGCTTTGTGTTTACCCAATTGAGCTGAGAAACATCCACAAAAACGTGCACAAAGCGTTAATGTAGCTTATTTACCAATTGCGAAACATGGAAACAACCAAGATGCCCTTTCACAGGTAAATGGATAGAATTGTAGTAAATCCATAAATTCATTGTTATCAACAATAAAAAGAAATAAACTGTCAAACTATTGAAAGACATGGAAGACTTTAACTGTACATTATTAGGTAAAAGAAAGACTAATATCAAATATACAACATTCTTGAAAAGAAAATGCTATCGAAACAGTAAATAAACAGATTAGTGGTTTCCAGGGATTCAGGTGGATGGAGGAAGAGGTGAATAGGTGGGACACAGGGGTTTTCAGGCAATTAAACTATTCTGTGTGACACTGTAATAGTGGATCCCAATGACATGATACATTTGTCAAAACCACTGGGCTATGCAAGACAAAAGCAAACCAGATGTATGCTGGACTGTAGTTAATAATATATCAATTGGTTCATCAACCATAACAAATGCATCCGGTAATGCAAAATGTTAATAATAGGGGAAGCTTTATGCAGGAAGCGGGGTGCGAGAAGTACGCTAATGGGAACTCTCTATAATTTCTGTTCAATTTTTCTGTGATCTCACTTCTCTAAAAAATAGTCATTAAATGAAGCAACATCAGATGAAATTGTGACCTAAAAAGCAAAACCAGAGTGCAATACAAAGGTAACTTCCGTCTTGCCAGCCAGGCTATAAGATTTAATAAATTTAGGAAACAGGAAGGAAGAGAATTAAGTGTGGCCAGAGAAGAAGGAGGTACTTTTAAAAGAAAATAGTAGTGAACAAGTAAAAAACGCAGCAATAAAGAGAGTAGATCTATACTAATAGAATAAGAAACTGAAACAACCACCATTGGAAAAGATGTTATGAATTTGCAAGCATTGCCTCCATATTACACAATATAATTCTGTCCTCTGCTCCCCTTTAGAACCATGAGTAAAATCTCAACCATATTTTATCCTTTTGAAATGTGGTTTTCTGATTGGAAGATGTATTCCATTAAACTATGAGTGAGTACAGGGATTTCTGCTTTCATCCATGATGGAGCATCAGGGACCACAATTACTCTTCTACCTTAAATCACTTAAATACTGGACAAAAATACATGAAACAGTGGTATTCAGAAATTGGAAAACAGTGAAAGCAGTATATATGGTAATAAAGTGGAAGGACCCTGTGATGACCCCAATTTGCTGTCTGGAATTGCCAGTCCCACACTATAGGGAAGGGAACTCAGGGCATACTGGTTGCCTTGAGTTTAGAAACAAAGTTCAGTGTTTGGAGGAAGCCAAGGTACAATAGAAGGAAGGCAACCATACAGACTGAGAGAGAGAGAAAAATAGAGAGAGCTCTTGAAGGTTCATAGATGTACAAGGATTCCCCTTGATGTATACAGAGTTTTCACTATCTAGTCCAAAGTTCTATACATACTCTACCCCACCTAGTCAGTCAGACCTCTCTTCGATCAGAAATCTCTATAGAACTTGGGAGTGCTGTAAGATGTGCAGCTGTCCTTGGTTTAAACATGGCAAGGTTTGGGTTAAAGCTGAAGTTGAAAGGGGCAAATTCCCAGCAACCTGTTCCAAGCAAACATTATTTTCTACTTTTGAACTGTATTCACAGTGTGCTTGCTTTACACTATTATTTCAAAATTCTCTCAGCCCTAAGACATGGAAGTAAATCATTTCCTCCATATTTGACAAGTGAGTCATAAACTTAACAGACAAGCTCTAGCAGCTCTTTATATTCCTGAACTGACAACTACTTATCTGCAGTGAAAGCATTTGTGGATATAATTCCTAGTAACAAAATCTACAAACTACTTAAATTTGTCACTGCTACCTCAAAGGCTGTAACGCTTCAGTATTATGTTCTAATCACAACTCAGAATCCTCCATTCCATGTACTAACATGCACTCCTCAAAAATTAATCTGAGCCGGGCGCAGCTGGCTCACGTCTGTAATCCTTACTTTGGGAGGCTGAGGCAGGCAGATTACCTGAGGTCAGAAGTTCAAGACTAACCTGGCCCAGCATACAGTGAAACTCTCTACTAAAAAAATATATAGATAGATAGATAGATAGATAGATAGATAGATAGATAGATAGATAGATACACACAAAAGTTATAAAAGTTAGCTGGGCGTGGTGGTGCATGCCTGTAATCCCAGTTACTCGGGAGGCTGAGAGACGAGAATCACTTGAACCAGGGAGGCCAGAGGTTGCAGTGAGCTGAGATCATGCCACTGCACTCCAGCCTGGGCAACAGAGCAAGACTCTGTCTCAAAAAAAAAAAAAAAAACTAGTTTCAATAACACATGTCCTTAACTAAGAATTTTTTAATAGTTGTGACAACCAGCTCAAGCAACTATTTTTATATCCAAACTCCAAGGCAGAGTACATTAACCTAATAATTATTACTTTAAATTATAGAAATTAATGTAACAGAGGTTATTATCACAATAATGCTTTAATGAATGGAAACTTACGTGGTTCTGTTGCAGAAACACCTTGGTCATCAAGTTGAGTGGGCTTCTATGAATTCTGAAATAATTAAAAGTGTATTTGTCACTATAAATTTCAAATGGCAATTATATATGCCCAAGGTGGTTAAATTTTATTATTTTAATTTTAGGAACTTATTAAAAGAAAGAAAAACTTTGAAAAATAATAGCTGTACAGATCTTCCCAATCAGGCAACAAATGGTAACATTTAAAAGAATGTATGTAACAGCTGATTATAAACCTTTCTCACCAAAACTTGTTTTTGCTCTTGTGTATATTCGTTGATTGTACCATCATTATCTAGTCTTCCTTCCATGTCGGTCACCAACTTTCAAGTAAATATTTCTCAAACCACGACTCCCTTATTTCTTTTCACTAGTCTTTGAATATAGGTATTTATCACACATCTAAGATATAATAACTTCCCTTTCCTACTCCTAGTCCCCAAATCTAGCTTCTACAGTGCCAGTCAGGAAAAAAACTTCTACAAATTAAATCCTACAAAAAATCTTCAATGATTCTTTATTCTTTTTTAAAAGTCTAAGCTCCTTAGCAGAGCATCCATTCCCACTATGACTGGCCCTCTGTTACTTCATCCCTCTATATCTTCTTACTCTAATACCAATCCAGTTGTAATTCTCTATATGTATATTTGTTTGCTCATGCTATTGTCTTCTTAAAATACCAAATATTTCCCTTCTTTACTTTACTAAATCCTATTATCCTTTAAAGTTATAAAGTCTTCTAACTCCTTAGGTTGAACAGATTGCTCCTTTCTGTGAGGACAATGCAAATTCCATGCTTTATCATGCATAACACTGTACTAACATGTGACAAATCATGCTTGTATCCTTACTAAGCTGTAAGTTTTATGGAAGTAACAACCACATTGTTGTCTGCACAGGGGATACACATTGTATTTTTTGTATGTTTAGAATCTGAGTTATAATAAAAAACTTTATTAAAATATCAAAACTCACTATACTAAAATATTATCTAAGTTTACCATTGTGAATTTTATAATATGAATTTTACTTTAAGTTTCAAAATGTTAATACACTTAGGAAACCCCATAAAAGTCAAACATGCTGGGCATAATGGCTCTTATAATCCCAACATTTTGCCGGGAGGAGCCTGAGGTCGGATCCTCTTGAGGCCAGAAGTTAAAGACCAGTCTGGAGCAGCATAGTGAGACCTACATGTGTACAAAAAAAAATCAGCTGGCCTCAGTGGCGCGCACTGTGGTCCTAGCTACCTCAAAAGGCTGAGCAGAAAGGATCGCCTGAGCCCAACAGTTTGAGGCTGCTTTAGTGAGCAATATTCATGCCACTACACTCCAGCATGGAGTGACAGAGTGAGACTCTCTCTCTTTAAAAGATAAAAATAATAACAAAATTGCAATAAAATTTTTAAGGACAAACATGTATAAAATATCATCACCTTCAATTTTCTGTGCTACAGCTTCACAACTTTTCACTGCTTCTCGTCGATTTATAGATAGATAGATAGATAGATAGATAGATAGATAGATAGATAGATAGATACACACAAAAGTTATAAAAGTTAGCTGGGCGTGGTGGTGCATGCCTGTAATCCCAGTTACTCGGGAGGCTGAGAGACGAGAATCACTTGAACCCAGGAGGCAGAGGTTGCAGTGAGCTGAGATCATGCCACTGCACTCCAGCCTGGGCAACAGAGCAAGACTCTGTCTCAAAAAAAAAAAAAAACTAGTTTCAATAACACATATCCTTAACTAAGAATTTTAATAGTTGCTTGACAACCAGCTCAAGCAACTATTTTTTATGGCTCCAAACTCCAAGGCAGGGAGTCTGCACTGTTAACCTAATAATTATTACTTTAAATTATAGAAATTAATGTAACAGAGGTTATTATCACAATAATGCTTTAATGAATGGAAACTTACGTGGTTCTGTTGCAGAAACACCTTTAAATTCATCAGTTGAGTGGGCTTCTATGAATTCTGAAATAATTAAAAGTGTATTTGTCACTATAAATTTCAAATGGCAATTATATATACTAATTGAGTTTAAATTTTATTGTTTTAATTTTAGGAACTTATTAAAAGAAAGAAAACTTTGAAAAAATAATAGCTGCCAACACTGCAGATCTTCCCAATCAGGCAACAAATGGTAACATTTAAAAGAATGTGTGTAACAGCTGATTATAAACCACTTTCTCACCAAAACTTGTTTTTGCTCTTGTATTTGCTTATATTCGTTGATTGTACCATCATTATCTAGTCTTCCTTCCATATCCGGTCACCAACTTTCAAGTAAATATTTCTCAAACCTGACTCCCTTCTTCTTTTCACTAGTCTTTGAATATAGGTATTTATCACACATCTAAGATATAATAACTTCCCTTTCCTACTCCTAGTCCCCAAATCTAGCTTCTACAGTGCAGTCAGGAAAAAACTTCTCTAAAATTAAATCCTACAAAAAATCTTCAATGATTCTTTATTATTTTTTTAAAAAGTCTAAGCTCCTTAGCAGAGCATCCATTCCCACTATGACTGGCCCTCTGTTACTTCATCCCTATATATCGCTTCTTACTCTAATACCAATCCAGTTGTAATTCTCTATGTATGTTGTTTGCTCATGCTATTGTCTTCTTAAAATACCAAATATTTCCCTTCTTTACTTTACTAAATCCTATTCATCCTTTAAAGTTGCATAAAGTCTTCCTAACTCCTTAGGTTGAACAGATTGCTCCTTTCTGTGGACCCAATGCAAATTCCACATGCCTTTATCATGCATAACACTGTACTAACATGCTTGACAATGTACTTGTATCCTTACTAAGCTGTAAGTTTTATGGAAGTAACAACCACATTGTTGTCTGCACAGGGGATACACATTGTATTTTTTTGTATGTTCCCAGAATCTGGAACATAATAAAAACTTTTATTAAAATATCAAACTCACTATTAAATATTATCTAAATTTACCATTGTATAATTTTATAACTGTAAATTTTTTTACTTTAAGTTTCAAAATGTTAATACACTTAGGAAACCCCATAAAAGTCAAACATGCTGGGCATAATGGCTCATGCCTGTAATCCCAACATTTTGGGAGCCTGAGGTGGGAGGATCTCTTGAGGCCAGAAGTTAAAGACCAGTCTGGGCAACATAGTGAGACCTACATGTGTACAAAAAAAAATCAGCTGGCCTCAGTGGCTTGTGCCTGTGGTCCTAGCTACCTCAAAAGGCTGAGCAGAAAGGATCGCCTGAGCCCAACAGTTTGAGGCTGTAGTGAGCAATATTCATGCCACTACACTCCAGCATGGGTGACAGAGTGAGACTCTCTCTTTAAAAGATAAAAATAATAACAAAATTTTTAATAAAATTTTTAAGGACAAACATGTATAAAATATCATCACCTTCAATTTTCTGTGCTACAGCTTCACAACTTTTCACTGCTTCTCGTCGATTTTCTTCATCCCTGTTCACATTCAATAAATGAAACATTTTTTAATATATCAAAGAGTAAGAGTTTAAATTACACTAAAATAAGAACTAAAATGTGTAGTCTAGACATATGAAGTTTGTAAAATAAAAATTAAACACATATTTAATCTTTATTCACAGACACTAAGGTAAACTTACAAGTGAAAGTTGAAAAGTCAAACTAAACTATGTAATTATATGAATTCCACGTAGGCCATGAATATAATTAAGTATACCAAAAACATTAACAACAAAAATAGCAAAAATAAATTGTTAGAAACATGAGGTATCTTTTTGTCAAATATTATTATCAGTCGTATAATGATGAAGGACATAAGTTCTGGAGTGAGACTAGCTGACCTTTGGGTCAAAACCTGTTTCATCCACTTACTTATTATATGAACTCAGCCAGGTACATTACTTAACCTCTATTGGCTTCAGTTTATTCTCATTAAAATTGGGGTGTAATAGTACCTTTTTCATAAAGTAGTTATGAAAATCAAAGATTATACATGTAAAGTTACTACAAAAATCCCTAGTACACAGCAGACACTTAAATGTCAAGTATGAATATGGTCTAAACCTTAACCTCTGAGCCAAGGATCTAGTTATGCAACCCCCAGGAACCAACTCAAGTACCACTCTCTTCATTATTTTCAGTTATTGACAGAGATATCACTAACGTAACTGCATAACTAGTGGTCCCTCCCAACTATGGGTACGTATATTCTATTTTAACACTAAAAAATAATGTTTTGTCTGTTTAATGCAAAAGCATGGTTGCTTATAAATGTAAAACTTTTACTTGGATAAGCTGTTGATATAATTTTTAATGAACTTGTTCATCAACAATGAAGTATTTCATTAGATCTTAGTTTCCTATTTATTACTAGGAGTTATCTAATCAAACTGAGAAAAGAATTTATGAGCCAGATATTTCAAAGCTAGCAATGTCCAATATAACTTTCTAATAACAGCCACATGTGGGTACTAAGCACCTGAAATGTGGCTAGTGTGACTAAGAAACTGATTTTCTACATTGAATTTGCATAGCCATATGCAGCTAATGTCTCCTGTATTGCACATCTCCGATTATTAAAAATTGCAAATAGAAATAAGTTGACTAGACCTGATTTGACTAAGAAGCCCTGTGTACAGCCATCATATCTGACTCATTATTTTACATTCAGTGCTAATTATATACCATTTCTTATTGTTTTTGTTTCAATTAGTTCTGATATTTCACTTACATGGTTTTAGACAACATGACTTTCCAGGAGGATTTAGACCTCTGTTTAAGGCGATTCTTCAGTTCTTCAAATCTTTGTAAAAGGCGTACTATTTGTGCAATACTTAAAGTGACTGTTTTGTCAGGTTCTGGAGGCTCTGCTTGTAAAAGAGTTTGATCTTTACTTATCTAAAATAATAAAATTAACCAGTTACTTAGTAAATACCCATTTTGTTCCCATACCTCAAATAAATTTCATTATTTCCTTTATTAAATCAAAGTAATTGTTATATTATTCTTATCTATAGCTATAACCAAGTAATGATATAATATTTTACAAATATATTTATATGAGCAATTATCTATGAACAGAATTACAGCTCAGTGATGGTTTTTACATGTAAAACCTGAAATCCAATAATCTGTTTAATGTTAAAATATATAGGAATTTTAAGCAAGTCCAATAACAATAAATGCAAGTCAAAATATTTACAAGAGTAATTCTAAATTGTTTCCCATAAATTCTTTTTAAGAATACCCTTACTGTGGTAAATTACCTAAAGATAATAATTTTTTCTCAAAGGCTAATACTGTCTATTACTAACTCCCAGAAGTTAAAATATAAAAGTCTATGGAACTAGCATTTTTCCAGTCTGCGTGGGGAAGACTGAGACATAGTTGGGTGTCTTGAGACCTTTAGAATAGACCAAGCTAAAAAATAACAGGCAGTGAGAAGAAACAGCAAAATTCACAGAATAAGATGACCATAATTACTATTCTAGATAATAAGTTTACCTAAAGAAAATTCAGCAAGAATGAGTGTCCAGAAACCACAGCAAAAGAAACCTACAAACAGCCAATGTGTGGAGACATAAACAAGCAGAACAGCAATTGGGGTCAGAAAGTTTTGATAGGAAAATGACACAGAATATTTACAAGAGTAATGCTAAAATAATTGCTTGCCCTAAATTCAGAGATCCACCCATGTAGAGATCTCCAATCCTTATGCTAGGAGGAGAAGTTGGAGAAAAAATGAAGTCAAGGACTTAGCAAAGATAAATTCCAGCACTGGGGATTTAGAACAGAGACTTCATTTTTGTAATGAGTGGAATGAGAGTAGGATGTAACAGCAGGAAGTAAATGCTGGGCAACACACTAGAAGTCTGAGCTTGGGTGTAGGGAAGATATGACAAGGAACACAGAATAGATGGAAGGGAAGCAGGAGACCTATGGAAACTTTATAGACAAAGGAAAGATCCCAAATAAGAAGCCACAAACCATAAATTGAGTGAAAAATAATGTCATCAGTTTACTGTGTCTCACCTCAACAATCTATTCTTCATTGTGTTGTCTGAGATAGTGGAATATTTCTTCCTTGACCGGTGGTCTAATGTTAACCTTTTTCAGCAGAGCGTACTGAAGAGGCATTGGAAGAGGAAGAAGCTTCTCTTCCTAGTTCCGTGTCTCTCTCTGCTTCTTTCTCAGGCAGTGTGTAGTATATTTTATAGTACTCACCCCCAGAAAATTTCAACAGCATCAGCTCATGGATGACTTCCTGGTAAGGTCCCTGGCATGGCAGATTCCTATGGGCAGCTTCCCCCAGAACTTTGTAGCAAAATTCACCAGTGCAGAGCCTCCCTTAGGGAAGTTTTCCAACATATCACCCTTATGAACAGCTTCCCAGCAGGAAGTACAGCACCTCTCTGGAAGGTGGCTTTCCTAGCATCACAGAGGGCAGATTCCTAAGTGTACCACCCTCATGGACAGCTTCCCAGTGAGTTCAAGCTCCACCAGCCTCACAGCCCAGCAAACTTCTCTGCCATGTAGTGATGAAAGCTGCTCCCTCTTCAGAAGTTCTGCACCTTAGCCCTGCATTGCTGGGAGGGAATGATTGGGGATATTCATATTCTGATTCCACCCTAGGAGTTGAAGTTGTTCCCTCTATCTTCTACTCCTGTATTCATTAGAATTATCTTTACTCCTTTAGTAGAATGTCTATCAATATCCTTCAGTAGATATTCCTCTGTTACAATAATTCTTTATATCAAACTTTCCCTAACCAAATTACTGTGTGGTTTTTGTCCCTTGATTAGACTCTTGATACATTACATTTCCCAATAGATATTAAATTTTAACAGAAGTCCTTTCTGGGAAAAAAAGATGAAGTCACAGAACTAAAAGAGTATGGAATATAGACAGTGGGTTATCAGCTAAATGGTTTCTTCAGAAAGACCTTGGGGCACAGATTCCAGCAGGACAACTCTGAAAAGTACAGGCTACTGCAGGCTCAGCCTACATTTCTCTGGTGCAGCTCACCATATACTCTAATGGTTTCCACATGTATCTCTGTTAATGAAACATGTAATGCAACATGATCACTGACATTAACCTCGCCAGCATGTAGTGACAATAAATTTTGTCAGCAGTAAAAAGATTATCAGAAGATTCTCAAATGTTAGTGTGCATGAGAATCCCTTGTTTCCTACCTGTTGAAGCAGTAGATTCCTAACTCACAGACTCACAAAAGAAATCTAATCCAGTAACGTGCACTTATAACAGGTATCTTGGGTGACATTTAAACATGTTCTATCAACTACACTTTAAGAAAGATTCCTTGAGGAGCCCTCTCCCACCACTCCTATTCAACACAGTATTGGAAGTCCTGGTCAGAGCAATCAGACAAGAGAAAGAAATAAAGTGCATCCAAATAGGAAGAGTGGAAGTCAAACTATCCCTGCTTATAGACAACATAATCTTATATCTAGAAAATCCCAAAGTCTTGGCCCAAAACCTCCCTCAGCTGATAAACAGCCTCAGCAAAGTCTCAAGATACAAAGTCAATGTACAAAAATCACTAGCATTCCTATACATCAACAACAGTCGAGCCAAGAGCCAAATCAAGAGCCAATCCCGTTCACAATTGCCACAAAAAGAATACCTAGGAACACAGCTAACCAGGGAGGTGAACAACCTCTACAAGGAGAACTACAAAACACTGCTCAAAGAAATCAGAAATGATACCAACAAATGGAAAAACAGTCCATGTGCATGGATAGAAAGAATCAAATTATTAAAATGGCCATACTGCCCAAAGTAAATTTATAGATCCAATGATATTCCTATCAAACTAACAACGAAATTCTTCACAGAACTAGAAAAAATCTATTTTAAAGTTCATATGGAACCAAAAACAGCCCAAAGAGCCAAGGCAATCCAAAGCAAAAGGAACAAATCTGGAGGCATCACACTACCCAACTTCAAACTATACTATAGGGTTACAGTAACCAAAACAGCATGGTACTGGCACAAAAACAGACACATAGAGCAATGGAACAGAATAGAGAAGCCAGAAATAAGGCTGTACACCTACAATTACCTGATCTTTGACAAACCTGACAAAAGCAAACAATGAAAAAAGGATTCCCTATTCAATAAATGAGGCTGGGATAACTCGTTAACAATGTGCAGAAGATTTAAACTGGACTCACTGCTTAAACCATATACAAAAATTAACTCAAGATGAATAAAAGACTTAAATGTAAAACCCAAAACTATAAAAATTCTGGAAGACAACCTAGGCAATACGATTCTGGACACAGGAATGGGCAAAGACTCCATGAAGACACCAAAAGCAATTGCAACAAAAGCAAAAATTAACAAATAGGATCTAATTAAACTTAAGAGCTTCTGTGCAGCAAAAGAAACTATCAACAGAGTAAACAGGCAACCTAGAAATTGGGAGAAAACATTTGCAAACTATTCATCTGACAAAGGCCTAATATCCAACATCTATAAGAAACTTAAGCAAATTTATAAGACGCAAACAAACAACACCATTAAAAAGTGGACAAGGCCAGGCGCAGTGGCTCACGCCTGTAATCCTAGCACTTTGGGAGGCTGAGGCAGGCAGATTCCCGGGCTCAGGAGTTTGAGACCAGCCTGGGCAACATGGCGAAACCCTGTCTCTACTAAAATACAAAAAAAAAAAAAAAATTAGCCGGGCATGGTGGCATACACCTGTAGTCCCAGCTACTTGGGAGGCTGAGGCAGGAGAACTGCTTGAACCCGGGAAGCTGAGGCAGGAGAACTGCTTGAACCGAGGAGGCAGAGGTAGCAGAGAGCCGAGATCGTGCCACTGCACTCCAGCCTGGCGACAGAGCAAGACTCTATCTCAAAAAAAAGAAAAAAAAAAAAGGTGGACACAGGACATGAATAGATACTTTTCAAAAGAAGACATACATGGTGCCAACAATCATATGAAAAAAAGCTCAACATCACCGATCATTAGAGAAATGCAAATCAAACCACAATGAGATACCATCTCATACCAGTCAGAATTACTATTATTAAAAAGTAAAAAAAAATAATAAAAGGTGCTGGCAAGGTTGTGGAGAAAAAATTGCTTATACACTGTTGGTGGGAGTATAAATTAGTTCCCTGTTGTGGAAAACAGTATGGTGATTCCTCAAATATCTAAAAACAGAACTACCATTTGACCCAGCAATGCCATTACTAGGTATACACCGAAGGGAAAATAAATCATCCTGTCATAAAGACACGTGCATGTGTATGTTCACTGCATCACTATTCACAATAGCAAAGACATGGAATCGACCTAAATGTCCATCAGTGGTTGACTGGATGAAGAAAATGTGGCATATATATACCATGGAATACTATGCAGCCATATAAACGCATGAGATCATGTATTTTGCAGGAACATGGATGGAACTGGAGGCCATTATCCTTATCAAACTAGCACAGGAACATAAAACCGAATACTGCATATTTTCACTTGCAAGTGGGAGCTAAATGATGAGAACTCATGAACACAAAGAAGGGAACAATAGACACTGGGGTCTACATGAGGGTGGAAGGAGAGGAGCAGAAAAGATAACTATTGGGTACTGGGCTTAATATGTGGGTGATGAAATAATCTGTATAACAAATACCTGTGACATGAGTTTACATAAATAACAAACCTGTACATGTACCCCTGAACTTAAAATAAAATTTACAAAAAAAAAAGAAACACTCCTTGAGAAACAGCAGATAATACAAACCTTTAGATAATGTATCTGGTATACCAAATTAATAAAATATTTAAGATAAGCAATTATGGGTTTAAACACTGAAAAACTTGAAATTCCAGATCAGAAGTATACTGTGTAGTGGGGGTTCCTCCTGGTGATTATTAATGCACCGGTTGGGATTTCAGGCATAATGGATATGATAGTAACTAACAATAAGGTGTAGACACAGAGAAAAGTGGACACATCTGACAGTTATTTAGAAAGTAAAACCCAGAGGACTTGCGGATAGATTAAATATCAGGAATAGATGGAAGTGAGTTGTGAGGAATGGTTTCCACATTTCACATTTACCCAATCTGATAAATAGTACTCATTCACTAAGATAGGGAACACTAGAAGAGTTTAGGAGGAAAAAATTAATATTTCTGACCCACTGCATCTGAGGTGGAATAGTCAAGTAAGCAATTATATACAAACCCTGGAGTTCAGGGAAACATTTTGAGCAAAAGGTATATGTTTCTAAATTACATGCATAAAGGTAATACTTGAATGGAAAAACTGGATGAGACTGCCTAGGGAGAAAGTTTGGAGCAAAAAGAAAAAAGGCATAGGATAAAACTTTGAGGTACTCCAACATTTACTGGTTGGGTTAAGGAGGGGACTTTAAAAAGAAGATAGCCAAAGAGGTAAAACAATAGCCAGGAAAATGTAATTCACAGAAGCCAAAGGAATAGTGTTTCAAAAATGAGGGCACAATCAATAATATTAATTATAGCTGAGGCAAAAAAAAAAAATGTCTGTTTAATTTAACAACATACAATTTACTGGGAACCATATGGAGAGAATGTTTTACTTGTCAGAGAGACAGAATTCAGTCTGGATAGATTGAGAAATGCTTGGGAAATAAGAGCATAGTGTATAGTAAATTAGTATACAAATAAATGTGGCTCTGAATGTGTGACACATGCTCCATGGCTAAACTCTTAAGGGTTATTACAGGAAATCCATAAACAACTCTAACTGTTTTACTTAATACCCTTAGTTGTCTCTTACAAGGAAAGAGTGCCCAGATTAATCTCTTCACTAGGTGCCAGTTTATTCACTGAATACTTAAAAAAAAAAAAAAAAAAGACCCAACTAGTTTCATTGTTCAAAGACTGTCTACTCTGTTTTTCTCTCCACTCGCTTATAAATCTGCTTTGCCTTTACACCCTGGTAATAATCTAATGACTGTTTCCCTAATATGAGTAAATTTGCATACAAAATAATTTTTTTAAAACACACTAATAGAGGACATGGAAATAGGCCTTTAGAGAGGAATGTGGATCAAATGAGAGATAAAAGAGCATATTTAAAAATTGAAAGGAAGGGTAAAATTGAATGAGAGAAATTGAATATACAAGAGAGAATAATTAATTAATCAAAGTTCTTGAGAAGGCATGGCAGGGCACAGTGGCTCCCACCTGTAATCCCAGCACTTTGGGAGGCAGAGGCAAGGGAATTGCATGAGTCAAGACCAGCCTGGGCAACATGGCGAAACCGCATCTCTATTTTAAAAAAATACCAATTAGCCAGGCATGGTGGCTCACACCTGTGGTCCCAGCTACTTGAGAGGCTGAGGTTGGAGAATCACCTGAGCCCAGGAGGTCAAGCCTTCAGTGAGCCGAGATCAAATCACTGCTGTCCAGCCAGGGCAACCAGAATGAGACCCTGTCTCAAAAACACAAACAAACAAATACAGAATCTTGAGAAGACAAGAGGATATGAAATCCAAAATAGAAGCGAAATAATTAGTCATATGTATAAGAAAGAACAATATATCTGTCTTAACAGGAAAAATGAAAGAGAAAATGAGTACAGATGTTAATATTTTGTTAGGTAGCAGGAATTGAAGGAGTTCCAACCAATGGCTTACATTTAGAGTATTCCAAGTGTTTGGCAGCCAGAGCAGTATTTAAAGTAATAATTGGAAAAACAGAAATTCATAGTTCAAGAATAAGTTGCCTAAACTAGTGATTTTTAAAATAAAGTAATTTTGTTAATGACAAGGTGCACAGTGTGACTGGAAGTGGAGGCCAAGAGATCTTTGGAGATGAGGAAGTCAAGAAAGTAAGAGGCCAGAGTTTTGGATAGGTCATGTACATTGACAGGACTGAGTGTAAAAGAATAGTAAAAGTAAACCCATTAATAAAATAATAAAAAGAGGTTGATGGATGAAAAGAAGATGACAAGATGAATTTCCAAAGTTGTAAAGAAGAACACCTTTTAAAAGAGGGTAGAGGAATAGTAGACTTCACTCTAACCCTACTTCTCTGGAAGGATAATGACCACTATGCCATAATCAAAGAATGACTAACACTTTTCCAATGTCAATTAAATGTATCCTAAAGCAAAGAGTATGTAGACCATGAAAGTCTTCTATTCTGGGACCAGAGATAAAACAATGAGAAGATGCTAGGATATAGTCCCAGTTCATGCATTTAAGGTTCTATCTATATTTATCCTTTAACTTTACACCCCCAAAGAAACTGGCCTCTTTTCTTTGAAAAGCCTGGGCTTCAAGAGTGTTTAATTGGACTGAACCATAAGTGTGACCAAATGAGAACTAAAATAATTCTGTAAATCAGTAAAGCTACCCTGGAAATCATTCCAATATACTAACAGCATATATAAAGTATTTTCCAAAGTAGAATTAAAAGCCCCTAAGCCCCTAGTTTGAGACCAGTAGTTCTCAAACTAATGGTAAAGTACCTGAATCAAAAGTGTAAAAGAACATCATTAAAATAACATATTTCATCTATAGAAAATCAATACATAATTTTATGTCTATACATACATCATCATTTAGCATGATTTTTTTAAATATGGTAGAAAGTTTTAAAGTGAAAGATTCTCTCATCACCCTTTTATGTAAATTGGAAAAAAATAATAACTTAGTTTCCATTATTCAATTTTAGGAAAAAACATGTGTCAGTCAAACTTGGAGTACACCAGATATATGCAGGGACATAGGGTGTAAGTCACTGAGAAATATTTTATCTCATACACTTATTCCTTGTCTACCTAAATCAAAAGATTACTTTATAACCAACAGTTATTCAAAAATGACTTATACATGCTTAACTTATACATAATCCAAATTGGTTTTCAAATGAGTTAAAAAATATTAACAATTTTAAAACATTAGACTTACTTCTTCCATCTGATTGACTTGCCACTGAAACCACTTTAACAAAAGAGGGACAAAAAAAGAAATAGTGACTATTTAAATTGCAGCAATGAAATAAATATCTATATAAATGTGTGTCTGTGTCTGTGACTCTTCATCCATCAAATATCAGCCCTGACCGAAATATCACTTGGGATTCAGAATGGGGCTAATGCACTATACAAATGAACATAAAATTCTTAAACATATAGAGCAGCAAATATGGAATTCCTTCTACTCCCTTAAAATTTAGAAACCTCTTCTTCATTGGCATGTATTTCTGTGTTAAGTTTTAGTAGGCTTAAGAAGTGATATATTGAACATACCTTAAAAAGAGATTCCAAAATCTGAAAAATAAAGTTTTAATTAATACGTTTAAAAATAGAACACTTAACCATGTATGATATAATATTTAGTTTAGTCTTTTGCAATTTTCAATCACAAAAATGTACTAAGTATTAAATTATAACTTTATAAATCTGTAGTTGAAAATTATAATTTTTTATTTACAGACAGTGCTTTTAGTTCATCTTGCATAGACAACTTCATTCTAGAATTTAAAAATAATTTTTCTTTTTATATATAGAAAGGGAGAAAGAGGGAAAGAGAGACAGAATCTCACTGTCACCCAGGCTTGAGTGCAGCAGCGCACTCATAGCTCACTATAACGTTGAACTCCTAGGCTCAAGTGATCCACTTGCCTCAGCCTCCTGAGTAGCTAGGACTACATGGGCACGCCCCCATACCTGGCTAATTTTTAATTTTGTTTTTAATAGGGACAGAGTTTGGTCATGTTGCCCAGGTTGGTCTCAAACTCCTGGCCACAAACGATCCTCCTATCTCAGCCTCCCAAAGCACTCAGCATGAGCCATCATGCCTGGCCCTAATACATCTATAACAGGAAGCCCCCAAACAATTCCCAAATGTATTTCGTATATTTTCTTAACATAGGTAAGGAAGCTGGGTGTGGTGGCTCATGCCTGTAATCCCAGCACTTTGGGAGACCAAGGCAGGTGGATCACCTGAAGTTGGAAGTTCGAGACCAGCCTGACCAACATGGAGAAACCTCGTCTCTACTAAAAATACAAAAATTAGCCAGGTGTGGTGGTGCATGCCTATAATCCCAGCTACTAGGGAGGCTGAAGCAGGAGAATCACTTGAACCCGGTAGGCGGAGGTTGCAGTGAGCCAAGATCATGCACGCCAGCCTGGGCAACAAGAGCAAAACTCTGTCTCAAAAGAAAATATATATATATGTGTGTGTGTGCATGTGTGTGTGTATATATATGTATATATTTATATTTTTTATTTATTTTTTTATGTATATAGGTAAGGAACAAAATTTAAATTCCTCTCAGAAGAGCATTATATTTCTTTTCATACAGCAGCAAGTACAATAACAAAAAGCATCATCTTCCCAACACTATCTTCCCAATACAACTCTGTTCCTGCTAAATGGTCCAGAAAATCAAGATATAAAATATTATAATACTATTTAATATTTTTAATGAAAAATACAAAGTACTCGCTTGAGAAATTATAAGAGAAACTGAATAAATATACAAAACCCAATAGAAACTGAAATCCACATACACATTAAACCATTCTGTTTTTCACTTATAGTACAGTATTCAATAAATTTCATGAGCTATTTAACACTTCCTTATAAAACAGGTTTTGTGTTAGATGATTTTGCCCAACTGCAGGCTAATGTCCAGTGTTCTCAGCACATTTAAGGTAGGGTAGGCTAAGTTATGATGTTTGGTAGGTCAGGTGTATTAAATGCATTTTCACCATATGAAAAATTCAACTCACGATGGGTTTATCAGTATGTAACTCCCTCACAAGTTGAGGAGCATCCATAAACAGCTCAAAATATCAATATTTACCACTTAAATATCTAATGTTAAAGTGATTACATTTGCTACAAAAACAAAATTCCCACCCTATCAAATTGGGTAAAAGTTTTCAATTACATTATTAAAGTAAAATATTACTATGTGCATTCAGGGAGTAACATAAAATTGAACAGAAATTAAACTAGATAAATTAAATTTATCTTCCCCAACACTAACTCTAGATCTGTGGTTCAAAAAGTAAAGTGCCATAGCAACAGCATCAGCACCACCTACAAGCATACTTATTAGTATTGAAAATTCTCAGGTCCCACCCTACCCTAGTAAATCAGAAAATCTAGAAGTGGGACTAGCAATTTGTGTTTTAACTAGACCTACAGGTGATTGTTTTGCATGCTAAAGTCTAAGAATCACTAAGCTAAATAATAAGAAAGCATAAATCTAAGCAAAAATGGATGATACCCTTCAGGAAATATACCAAAGCAAATTAATGTCTGTGTCAGAAGAAAAATATTTTCAGTTACGTAAGTGTTTAGAAAATAATGTCCACTAAAGCACATTATACCTAGAAATAACTAATTTTTTCCACTGTCAAGAGAGATTCCAAGGTTCTCAAAACTTCCCTGCCTGCACTGGAACCTGATGGGAAACATTAGCATATATCAATTCAACGACTCATTGTAGCCACAGTTCTACAATAATTTAAACCACTCCTAGTTTAAGGAGAACAGTGCCTTTCTCAATTACTGAGGAAACCCACAGCATCAATTACTGATACTGCTAAATCTAGATCATTATTGATAAAAATGAGTGAAAAATAAAAACTGATCCACTGTGAAATGCCTTTTTATTTCATAATGATTTGTTTAATCTTTTACTTACTGATAAGTAGACATTATATAATCTAGATAATCCTTTATGTGATTAAATACACATATACGTCAGGTATACATGATCCAAATTTTGACCCAATTTGAAATTTCTCTTGCCCTTCTCTTTATGAATTCTTTATATAATAGAGGTTATAAATTTAATATAGGTGAATTTATCAATATTGCCTTTTATGATTTGTATTTGTTTTGTGATTGTTTCTTGCTCCAGGTCATATACTTATGTCAGTATCATATTTGATCATATATCAAATTAGTTTTTCCCCTTATAAATAACTAGTTGTTCCAAAGCCATTTATTATACTGCTGGCTCTGTCATCAACAAAATTTTCCATATACAGAAGGGTGTCTGAGACTTTGTTCAATTTCATCAGTTCATCCAGGCTTGTACCAAAAGCACATAATCATAATTGATACAGCTGCATAATGAATCTTGATATCTGTTAGGGTAGGTCCTTTCACCGTGTTCATTTTCTTCAGGTCTCACTTGGTTATTCTTGGTCTACTGAAATGCTATATATATAAAATTCAAAGTCAATTGTAAATTTGCATCAAGAAAAAAACTATTAGGGTATTTGAAGAGTGATAACAGCAAAAAAAAAAAAAAAAAAAAAAAAAAAAAATGTACAGTAGGGAAGTCCAAGGGCCTATGCTCCAATTTTGTTAGAACTCTGAAAAACAGTTAAATATTTAAAGCAACTAAGTAAAGCCACATCAGTAAAATGTGGCTTGAACACCACAGCAGAATTGTGTGGTATTTTAACTTGGTCTTACCCCACCCTCTCCTCCAGCACAGAAGTCTTAAAAACAGCAACCCTCATTTTGAGTGGTTCTGGAGACAGCATAGCAGACATATTCCCAAGAAACTGTGTGAGTGTTTTGAGCTCTCTAGAGGTTCCCACTTTTGAGCTCTCTAGAGGTTCCCACTAAACAGAGTTAGTTTCACCTAACTCAGAACTCTCCTAGGGAAGAAAAGCAACTAAGTGAAGGGCCTTAAAAGTGTCCCTGTTTGCAGACAACATGAGCATATACATATTATATATATAGAAGACTCCACTGGAAACTTCTCAGAATTAATGAATAAATTCAGTAAAGCTGCAAAATACAAAATCAACATATAAAAATCAGTAGTATGTTCATATACTAACTGAAAAAAGAAATCGAGAGACCAATCCCATTTATAATAGCTACAAAATAACATATAAGATACCTAGAAATAAATTTAACCAAGGAGGTAAAAGGCCTCTACAATGAAAATTATAAAATACTCATGAAAGAAATTAAAGAAGACACACACAAAAAAAACAAAAGACATCCTATGTTCATGGATTAGAAGAATTAATATTGACACTGGGCTTATGCCCAGTAGCATTTTGACAGGGATTTCACTAAATGTGCAGATAGCTTTCAGTAGTATGGTCATTTTAACAATATTAATTATTAATACCATGACATTCTTTACAGAAATAGAAAACAAATCCTAAAAATTCATGTAGAACCACAAAAGACCATAAGTAGCCAAAGCAATCCTGAGCAAAAAGAAGCAAGCTGGGAGCAACACACTATCTGACTTCAAAATGTACTACAAAGTTAGCCAGGCATGGTGGTTCATGCCCGTAATCCCAGCAGCTTGGGAAGCTGAGGCAAGAAGATCCCTCAAGTCCAGGAGTTTGAGGCTGCAGTGAGCTATGATTGTGCCACTGCACTCCAGCCTGGCCAAAAAAGTGAGACCTTGTCTCTTTAAAAAAAAAAAAAAAAAAAAAAGGCACACACACACACGTGCAAACACATACACAACATACTCTTCAAAGCTATAGTAGCCACAACAGCATGGTGCTGGCGCAAAAACAGACACATAGACCAATGGAACCCAATAGAGAACCCAAAAAATGAATCCACTTATTTATAGCAAACAAATTTTCAACAAAAACACCAAGAACATTGGGAAAAGGACAGTCTTTTCAATAAATGGTGCTGGGAAAACTGAATATCCATAGGCAGAAGAATGAAGCTAGACCCCAATATCTCACCATATGCAAAAATCAGCTCAAAAACAGCTTAAAGACTTAAATATAAAACCCAAAACTATGAAACTACTGGAAGGAAACAGAGGAAATGCTTCAGGACATTGGTCTGAGAAAATATTTTATGGGTAAGACCTCAAAAGCATACACAAGCAAAAACAGACAAGTGGTATTATATCAAACTAAAAACCTGCACAGCAAAGGAAACAATCAACAGAGTTAAAACACAATCTTCAGAATGAGAAAAGATATTTGTAAAACAAATTCATCTAACGAGTGATAAATATTCAAAATATACAAGGAACTCAGACAACTCAATGGCAAAAAAAAAAAATCTGATTTTAAAATAGGTAAATGGCTTGAATATTTCTCAAAAGAAAGATAAACAAATGGCTAAAAAGTATAGGAAAAAAAATGCTCATCATCACTAATCATCAGGGAAATGTAAATCAAAACCACAATGAGATACCATCTCACCTCAGTTAGAATGGCTATTATCAAAAAGACAAAAAATAAATACTGACAAGGATGCAGAGAAAAAGGAACATATACACTTTTGGCGGAAATGTAAACTAGTAGAACGATAACGAAAAATAGCATGGAGTTTCCTCAAAAAACTACAAATAGAGCTACCATATGATCCAGCAATTTCACTACTGAGTGTATATCCACAGGAAAGGAAATCAGTACACTGAAGAGACATCTGTACTTCCATGTTTATTGCAGCACTAAACTGCAATAGCCAAGATATAGAATCAACCTAAATGTCCATCAATAGACAAATTAATAAAGAAAATGTGGCATATAGGGAGAATGGACTACTATTCAGCCGCTTTTAGTTCCAAAAAAGATTTCACTCTTAATTCCAAAAAAGAATTAAATAAATCCTGTCATTCACAGCAACATGGATGGGCCTATAGGATATCATATTAAGAGAAGTAAGTCAGGAACAGAAAGATAAATATTTCATGTTCTCACCAATATGCAAATACTAAAACAAGCGGATCTCACAGAAGCAGAGGGTAGAATCATGATTACTAGAGGTTGGAAAGGGTAGGGGTGAGGGAGGATAGCGAGAGGTTGGTTAAAGGATAAAAAATTACAGTTAGATAGGAGGAATAAGTTACAGGGTTCTACAGCCCTATAGGGTAACCACAGCTAACAACAGTTTATTTTATACATATATATGTATTCAAATAGCTAGAAGAGAGTATTTTGAATGTTCCCATCACAAAGAAATGATAAGTGTTTGAGGTAATGAATATGCTAATTACTCTAATTTGACCACTACACATTGTATGTATCAAAATATCACTATGTACCCCACAAATACGTATAATTATTACATGCCAATTTAAATACTATTACCAAGAAAAGCAATAAATTAAGTGTATTCTATTATAAGAAAAAAAGGCAATTTCAACAATTCCACAGCAGTCTTACCTTTTACTCACAGCTAACTTATAAGGGTTATGGTACTAAACCATGATTATGTGGTCATTCTCTGTAATGGTCAATCATTCTCTCTTTGAGGCTGATTGCCACAACCTTAATATTTATTAACTACCTTGTAACTACTTACATGCTCTTAGTGAGGGAATAGGGCAGATTCATTAAGATTCACACAACTATTGAAGAATTAATTTAAAGTTCATGTCTTACTTGTGGTGGTTCAGTGGCATAATCTTTGCATTTGGGCATAGTAAAAACCCTTGATGATGATTTAAAAAAAGAATAAAAAACAAATAAATAATGCTTTCCAATGCCATTTATAATTTCTTAAGACACTGAATCTAGGTTAATGTTAGCTGACTGGATAGCAGATTCAATTTTCAACAACCAGTACAAGTCTGATATTTTATACTTGGCCGTATATACAGAATACATACATTTTGTTCTTCTTTAAGTGCTGCTTCTAGCTGAGTTGCAAATTGTGAACAACATGTCAAGAATGAATTCATATCATCCCCAACCTTTTGAAAAGAATAATAAAACATAAAGTTACTTTTATTTAAGAGTCCATATGCATGTCTGTCTTTTTCTAGCATATTTACTTTTTGAAAAATTTTAACTTTGCTTAATTTACATCCCTTCAAACATTTACGACAAGAAGCCATGCTTCAAATGTCATACTAGCAAATTCTCCCAGAGAGAAAACATGGAAGAAAGTACATTCTGGGAAGTGGCCCATCAGTGACATATACCCAGCTATGTCTCTCCTCTCATTCATCTCTACACAGTTCCAGAAAATCCAGCATCCCAGCCTATGACTACTACCTATGACATCTAACTGTATACTTGCCATGAACTGCAGTCTTCTGCTCTCACCTAATAGGCAATGTAAAACTTTGAGGAAAAAAATAGTTACAGCTTAAATATCATAATGATCAAATCCCTTCTAGTAAAGCAGTGATTTGTAAATCAGAGAATTGACTCATGATAAACAAATATTACAGGCTTATATACAGTTAGAATTTTCATAGAGTGGTTCTCCATGAAGAATGTATTCCCTGAGCATTACATTTAAAGATACTGAGCCAGGTGCGGTGGCTCACACCTGTAATCCTAGCCCTTTGGGAGGCTGAGGCAGGTGGATCACTTGAGGTCAGGAGTTCAAGACCAGCCTGGCCAACATGGTGAAATCCTGTCTCTACTAAAAATACAAAAAAATTAGCTGGGCGTGGTGGCACACACCAGTAATCCCAGCTATGTGGGTGGCTGAGGCACGAAAAACGCTTGAATCCAGGAGACAGCAGCTGCAGTGAGCCAAGATTATACCACCGCACTCCAGCCTAGGTCACAGAGCAAGACTCTGTCTCAAAAAAATAAAAATAAATAAAATAAAACAAACAAATAAATAAATAAATATACTGAGAGACTCACATACTTTTTGACACAATAAAGACCTTTAATCATATAGGAGACAGGGAAAAAAACTAAAATAATCCAGCAGAGAGGAAAATGAACAGATTAGTGTTACTAATCACAAATATAATGGGAAACCATTAGCCCACTTCTTCCACCCACATTCAGGTGCCACAAATATAGAGAAGATAGAGAAATATAGAGAAGATAGAGATTGATTTGACTGAGTTTATAATTTAACAAATAAGACCAATAAAGCAGAACAGGGCAAGAGAGTTAAGTGTGCATGAAAGGGAGTGATAACAATAGTGGACCATCCTATTTAAGCTGGGTAAGTAAGGGCACAAGGAGGATTTGAGACACTAAAAAGGCAGCAGGACCAATGGATTATGGTTCCCTGTGAAATCAAAGGATTTTTGGAGTCAGAATTTTGGACAGACTGAGTGGGAAAGACAGGAGGTAGTGGCCAGAGATTAGGATGACTGAAATTCAAATTCTGAAACAGTTATGGTAAGGAATACAGGATATCACTCTGTCAATTAGTGGTTGAGGTAAAATAAAATACAAGATCATTGGAGGAAAGAAACTCAGTAAAATAAAGGCGGTATCCGAAGGGCTGATTTCTTCAATTTTGTCAGTATTGGAGACCACAGGAATGTGAACTTAATTTCATTTTATTTTATTTGTTGGTGGGTTTTTTTTCCAACTTTTATTTTAGATTTAGTGGGTACATGAGAAGGTTTGTTACCTGGATATACTGCTTGATGCTGAGGTTTGGGGTATCAATGATCCCATCACCCAAGTCCTGAGCACAGTACCCAATAGCTAGTTTTTCAACCCTTACCCCACTTCCCTCCCACCTCTAGTCATTCCCATTTCTTTTGAACTTCAATTTTAGATTTTAGTTTTGGTTCTTTGATTCGATCCTGGCAGGGCTTCAAAACATAATAACCACAAGGTCGTGCAGCATAAGGATTGTGATTACACAGTCCTTTTAATAGTTGGGTAATGACCACCACAATAAAAATATAAAACATTTCCATTATTTCAAAAAGCTTCACTGTACTCCTTTGCAGTCAATTCTCCCCTCCTACCTTAGCTCAAGACAACCACTGGTCCTTTACTACAGTTTTCCCTTTCCCAGAATTTCATATAAATAGAATCATATGGTATGCAGCCCTATTTATTTAGCTTCCCCACATCCTAATGTTTTTGAGATTCATCCACATGGTTCTATGTGTCAGGAGTTTGTTTCCTTTATTGTGAAGAGTATTTCATTGTATGCTATACCACAATTTGCTTGTCCATTCACCAGTTAGTAAATATTTGGGTTGCTGGATTCAGTAGCTATTCTGGCTATTATGAACAAAATTTCTATAAACATTTATATACAAGTCTTTGTGAGAATGTATGTGTTCATTAATCTTGGATAATCACTTAAGAGTAGAACTAGTGGTTATCTTTTAAGTATATGTTAAACTTTATGAGCAGCTGTCAAACTGTTTCTCAACATAGCAGTCCCATTTGTGTTCCCACCAGCTCTGTATGAGAGTTCCAGTGGCCCCGTATCTTTACCAAAACTTGATTATTGTCTATCTTTAAAATTTTGGTCATTCCTAATGGGTATGTAGAACTCCTTTTCTGCAACCTTCTTGGCAAAATTCAGGTCAAGAGGGATTTGGTTGGGTTGAGTAATTTTCTAAGAGGATCATTTTCATGGATGGGAAATTCATTCCGAGAACATATAAGTAATCCAAAAGAAAATATTTTAAATTTATATTTTTGGAAAGAAAATCGACCCTTTTCAGTGTTAATGTCTCTATATTAGGGTTGCATATACTTACAGATAAAGATAATTCTTCATGTTCACGCTTTACAAATGGTTCTTCTCCATTCTGATCACAGTGTCCATAGGTTTCTTCCAAAGTGGAAACAACCTGTAAAAAAAAAAAAAAAAAAAAAACAAAGCCAATTTGATACTTTAATAGTTTAAAATTAACTACATTAAATGTAAATAATATTCAATCAATTATGCCAGGACCTTTTTACCAGTAAGACTTATTTCTTCCAGTGCCACAAACTTAAATTTTCCATCCCATACCCAATTTCATGTCATCATGAGGAAAAAGCAATATTCCTTAACCTTACTCCCTAGCAAAAGAGAGATGCTCTGTGACTCTAACATTTCTGTGTTGATAGGTATCTTAAAACGGAGAGGGCCTGTCCATGAGTGGTTGAAGCATTAAGTAGAGGTTTCCTCAAAGTCTGCCTTGATTTTCTCCTCCAAAGTGAGTTAGGGAATATTGAAAGATGGAGACCAGAAAGCAATGAATTTTTAAAGAAAATTATCTGACCTAATCCCTCAAACTTTCAACAAACTTGTACTGTACAAGTTTGATGTACTGTATCTTTTTTATATATTTGTGCTCTTCCTCATCATTCTCACTTGATATTTGGTACATTTACAATTCAATTCTGGATCGCGGTGAAAAAAAAAGAAACTCAGAAAAAGTAAAATTTTTCCCCACATCAAAAGCTAAAGTTTCGGCTGGACGCGGTGGCTCACACCTGTAATCCCAGCACTTTGGGAAGCCGAGGTGAGTGGATCACCTGAGGTCAAGAGTTTGAGACCAGCCTGACCAGTATGGTGAAACCCCATCTCTACTAAAAATACAAAAATTAGCCGGGCGTGGTGGCATGCTCCTGTAGTCCTAGCTACTCGGGAGGCTGAGACAGGAAAATTGCTTGAACCCGGGAGGCAGAAGTTGCAGTGAGCCAAGATCATGCCACGGCACTCCCGCCTGCGCAAAAGAGCGAGACTTCATTTCAAGAAACAAAAAAAGAGCTAAAGTTTCTGAAATGCGGAGTTTAACATAGTAGAAATGCAGGACTTAGGAAGGCCTGCTTGCAAGGCTGGCCTTAACCTGGCATCTGAGAACTTGGATATCAGGAGGGTTCTCCCCATTCACTGACAGGAGCTCACTGTCCCTAAACTGTTTGTATAATGTGGTTTATACTGAACCTCCTTTCCTTGTGAGAGTCTGAAATTTTCATACATGCTAAGCACAGAGTGAATAGTAAACTCCCAATAAATCCCAGGGCACTAAGTTTCTAATGATTTTCCCCGACAGACATTTCATATGTGTTGTCACAATTCATTGCTAAAGAAATTAAGCATGTCCTGGGTGACTCTAAGGGGAAAAGACTCTTGCAAGCTTAGATCTGGTTTTCTCCTAATTTCACCTCATGTGCCTACTGTAATAAATCTTAACCATCAGTATGACTATATGTGGAGTCATGTGAGTTCTCCTAGAATATCACCAAACCTGGGGTGATCATGGGGTCCCTGCAACACAGAAACTAACAAGCCTCTTACCATCTTCAGATGTTTGATAATTTTTCCAATCATTTCATCTCCTGGTAGTAAGTTCTTTGTCTTACTCGATGGAATGGGCAAAGCATACCGTACAATGGATTCTCCTGTTGGTGGAGATCTCAGGACCATTGGTTCAATTTTATCATGAATTAATTTTGCATTATGTTTTTCCTTCAGTTTAGGTGATAGTGGTAAATTATGTAGTCCTTTTTTGCTGGTTAATGCTGGAAGAGTTGCCGATTTGTTACTGGTGGTCAACAGATGCTTTACTGGTTTCATTTTGTTACGACTTGGCTTCCAAATTATAGATGAAAAAAATTTATTCCTCCCTGTGAAAAAAAATTAAAAGAGATTGAGAGAAAACACCAGGCTCTAATTAAATTTACATACTACATTTCTCTTTCTCTGATGCTTTAGCAATTTGCTCAGAGTACATTAAGCAACTTCTGGAAGCTACAATTACACTTCAGGATTTTGAGTCACAGTTACTCAAACAAAACAAAGAAAAATAGAATGCAGTTATCACAATATCTAACGTATATCAAGAAGTTATTTAAACCTAAGTATAATAACAATAACAGTAAAAGCTCTATCGTTTTTAATCTAAGGTATGCCCTTTATGTACAGCATTATTCCATTTTACATGAGAGTAAACTGAGCTCAGACAAGTTAAGTGACTAACCAAGAGTCACACAGCTAATAAGTGCTAAATTTTCCAGAATTACAACATAGGTCAAATTGGCCTCAAATCTTGCTTCTTTTCTATAACCTTTGCTCTCCATATGGAAAATGTTGGGTTATTTTACCTATAGGACTTATAGCATTTCCTGTAAGTAAGGAGGGTTGTAGATGAAAACATTTCAGATTTAAAATGATAAAAGGATTATCAATTGCCATGAAGATGGTGAATCCTAAAATCAACTTCGAAAAAATGAAAAATAGAAAGGAAAATATTCCTAACAACAAAAAACAACAAGAACAAAAAAAATTTTAACTGTAAGAAACCCCTAAACGAAGGCTAATTTGTTTATGGGGCATTTAGGATACAAATATAGGGACCGAAGAAGCCAGAAGCAACAATGAGAGAATACACTCAGGAAAAAAAAACTACATTTTCTTCCTACCTTTCTCCCATATTTGAGCTAATATATGTCCTTAATATACATCTTTATTCCCACAGGAGCAGTAGTCTTGGCCCAAGGTATCATTAGGGTAATATTAAGGCAGCATCAAAGCTATGCTAAGTAAGTATAAACTAGATAGGTCTTGGGCTTTTATTCCTCTATTTTTCTCTCCCCTCAGAGCTAAGACTCAGGACAATGCCACCTCCCAAATAGTTTAAAAGTATAAGCCTAACCATGGAAATTGTCAAGTACAGTGGCAAAATTAAGATAAAGTAATGTAACACTGGTACTCTGTTATCTGAAGCTCTCTGTACTTCAGCTTGTCCCACTGTTATGTGTTGAACTGTGTCCCTGAGAAAAATATGTTCAAGTCCTAAGCCCCCAGCACTTTGAATGTGACCTTACTTGAAAATAGGGCCTTTGCAGCTATGATAAAGTTAAGATGGGTCCTAAATCCAATGACTGGTGTCACTACAAGAAGACCGTATAGCGACAGGCAGAAATTAAAGTGATGCACCTGTAAGCTAAGGAATATCAAGGATTGCTAACATCCACCAGAAGCTTGTAAAAACCAATGAGATTCTTCCCTAGAGCCTTCAGCAGGCAACATGGTTTTGCTGAAACCTTGATTTCAGTTTTCTGGCCTCCAGAATTATGAAATAATAAATTTCTGTTATTCTAAGTCACCCAGTTTGTGGTACTTTGTTACAGCAGCGCTAATGTCTTAGTCTGTTGAGGCTGCTATAACAAAACACTATAAATTGCATAGCTTATAAACAAGAAACATTTATTTCTCACAGTTCTGGAGACAGGAAAGTCCAACGACAAGGCACCAGCAGAGTTGGTGTCTGATGAAAGCCCAGACGCCAAATAAATGGTGCCTTCTCTCTGTGTCCTCACATGATGGAAGGAGCAAGGGAGCTTTTTCAGACCTCCTTCATAAGGGCACTAGGTCCATTTATGAAGGTGCTTTACTCATGACCTAATCATCTCCTAAAGGGCCCACCTCCTAATTCTACCATACATTGAACTGGGGTCCAATTTCAACATGCAAATTTGGGGATGACCCAAGCATTCAGACCACAGGAAATATCTAGCACTTCAAAAACAAACACACCCACATACTTTCCCTAAACTTCCAGGAGGAACACAGGCTGGGAACTGGCTTTTGATCATTTCCTAATAATAGATTATCAGATAAAGTAGGTGACACCCCAAGGGTATATAAGCTCACAGGCCAAAACTACTTGACAACTGAAAAAAACAACCATTAAAAAATAAAAAATAGGCCAGGCGCATTGGCTCACACCTGTAATCCCAGTACTCTGGGAGGCAGAGGCGGGTGGATCACCTGAGGCCAGGAGTTCAAGACCAGCCTGGCCAACATGGTGAAACCCTGTCTCTATTAAAAATACAAAAAATTATCCAAGTGTGGTGGTGGGCACCTGTAGTCCCAGCTACTTGGGAGGCTGAGGCAGGAGAATCGCTTAAACTAGGAGGCGGAAGTTGCAGCGAGCTGAGATTGCACCACTGCACTCCAGCCTAGGGGATGCAGCAAGACTCCATCTCAAATAAACAAATAAATATAAAAATAAGAAACTAAAAAACATGTTTTAGTTGTAGAATCATTAAAATAGAGAGACTAAAAATATATAAACACACAGAAAGAGAATATTAGCCATATAAAACAGGTATAAGAGGTATTTTTAAGACCCAAGTGAAAATATTAAAAAATGAAAAATATAATAGATAAAATAGCACAAGTAATCACAAAATAATATTGCTGAAGAATAAAAACTGATGCAAAGAATAAAAACGGTTAAGAAATAATCCAGCTAAAGAATAAAAAATGATGCAAAGATCAGCAGCATTTATCACATATTGTTGAACATTAATAAAATACACATCAATAGTGATAAGTATTAAAAGTAGCAGGTTTGAAAAAAATATAATTAGCAATTCTACTGAAAATGAGAAAATAAAGGCCTATATATTTGTTAATAACAATAAACATGATTGAATTTTTGGAGAAGCAGTATCTAATATTCAGAAGATCATTCAATAAATATTGAGACCAATAATAGTATTTTTTTATTTGCCAGAAACCACGGCAAAAGTTGATATCCTGTCAGCACATTTATGCAAAACACAAATATCAATACCGAATAGTATAATATACTATTTCAGAGAATATAAAAACAAATAATACAACTTACAGATGTTATAAATAAAATCACTTTGAATAAAGTTTTAAAAACTAATAATTTCTCAATTACTTTGGACACATGGACAGCAGATAACAATTGTTGATGTAATTATGAATTTCCAAAATCCAGATATTTCAATATGTGAACATTTATTAGGATTTTAACAAGTAGATGATGATACCCCGCTGGAAAAGAATCATATACATGTTTAAGAGATTACTTATTAAAAAATTAAAATTAAAAACATATAATATATATGGGGCCAGGGATACATGCCCTTAAATACGTCTGACAAGCACAAATAGAAAATCCTCAAAAACTAAAATTCTAAGACATTTTATACAACTTGCTGTTACATTCTTTAAACTAGGTTGTAAACAATAGAATGAAAATATCTTAATAGCACTGAAAATGTTTATTTCATCCAAGAATTATACAACTGCTTTTTTGTTCTGATGATACACTATAGTTAATTGAATGCATAGTTATCAAGCATAATTTTTAAATCATAGTCAAATATCACTTAGCAAAGATAACTTGATACCAGTGTCACTAAAAATCCATTTGAAGGAAGAACACAATGCTCTACTGGAAACTACTGATGATAATAGTAAATGCATACATTATAGCACTTGAACCAAAGCCCCTGCAAAATATTCCCTTTTACATTTTTCTTTTTTTTTTTTTTTTTTTTTTTTTTTTGAGACAGAGTTTCACTCTAGTCACCCAGGCTGGAGTACAATGGCGCAATCTTGGCTCACTGCAACCTTCGCCTCCCGGGTTCAAGCGATTCTCCTGCCTCAGCCTCACGAGTAGCTAGGATTACAGGTATCCGCTGCCACGCCTGGCTAATTTTTGTATTTTTAGTAGTGACAGGGTTTCACCACATTGGCCAAGCTGGTCTCACACTCCTGACCTCAAGTTTTCCGCCCACCTCGGCCTCCCAAAGTGCTGGGATTACACGCCTGAGCCACCGTCACTGCCCCCTTTTACATTATTCTCATACCGATTGTGACATGATGCTTTAGGTAAAAATTAATGTTACAAGCAAAATGATGCAGAAACCAAGATTAAATTTACAAAATTGAAAAGCCTCAAAAGAATTCTGAATAAATTACATTGCCAAAGAAACTCCATCAAAACCATCAGGTTCAAGCAAACATCAAAAATTCCACCAAAACCATCAGGACCAGCAAACAGGATGTAAGAAGAGTGGCCAATGAGCCAATAAGTAAAACCAAAAGGGCACATATACATAGAAAGCAAGGAAAAGAAAATGTCACCAAGGACGGAGCGATGAACTACGTCAAATGCTGAGTCAAGTAAAATGAAGACTAAGAGCTGACACTGGATTTGGCAACATGGAGGTAGGTCATTTGTAACCTGAAGAACAGAACGGCAACAATTTCAGTAGAATGATCGAGGTAAATATCTGACTTACCGTTCAAAAGACAGGAAGTAAGAACAAAGAATTGAATACAACCACTGTAGACAAATTTTACTACAAAAGGGAGGAAAGAAATAGAGTATTACTAGAAGAAAACATGGTCAAGAGGAAAGTTCGATGGAAAAAAGAACAAGTGTATTATGGATTGCATTGGGTCCTCTCCCCCCAAAAAAGTGTGAGGAAAGGAAGGAAGGAAGGCAGGAAGGCAGGCAGGTCGGCCGGCCGGCCACGCTCACTTAGTGCAAAAAAAAAGAGAAAAAAGAACCTGACAAATGCTCCGATGAAGTTCACATAAATACAAAACTAGAGTCACACGCAATGAATACTTGTATTAGCAAGCAAATATTTAAGGATTTTACATATTTAATTCATTTATCCCTCCTAACAATGCTAGGAAGTGGATGTCAGCATTACTTCGCCCAAGTGCATCTGTCCCTTTCCGCCACCACGACAAATGTTTTCTGGTTTCATCCTTCAAGGATTAATGTACATTCATTTCAAACCCTTTAATGACACTGTACAAAATCGAGGACAGCGGCAAGGGTCAGCAGGGGGCGTAGGGAAAGGATGATTTGCCTTCGATCCCAGATCTTGCATAAAAAGCAGCACAACCGCCACGGAGGCAGCCAGGCAGCGGGAAAACTAAGTGCAAACCCAGGACTCTCCCGAAACCCTCAGGTCGGGCTGAGGGAGCCGCTCGCGAGGCTCCCGGCCCTGTGTACCTGCTGAGACTGTGGGAAGTCGGGTGACTGGGCGGTTTGGCCTTGCCAAGGCTGACTCTAAGGTGAAAAACTATTTGCCTGAGGAAGATGGCAATTCCGAGCCTGCCAGACTTCCTTCGAGACAGAAGCCTGAAAAGTCCTCAGACTCCAGCCCCACCCTTTTACAAACTGACGTTTGTGCTGAAAGAAAAGGCCCGGCCTCTGCGCCCCCGGGCGGCAGCAAAGACCGCCGGGCGCCCGCCGCCGGCGCCGGATGGGGCCGTTGATGCCACGTCCCAGACGCCCGACGCCACGACGCCTTGGCGCCGCCGACGTCGCTGACGCTGCGGGCGTGAGCTGCGCGCCAAGAGCGGCAGAGGAGACGCAGTTTGGCCGCTGTGGGGATCTGACGGAAGGTTGATAATGTCCATGGGCACGTCGGCCTCCTTCTTCCTTATTCTTTCCCATGTGTAATTCCGGGACGCCGGCGGAGCGCAGATTCATCGAGGCATTTGGCCTAGAGGCCTGCGAAGGAGAAATAAAATACAGGCCTGGTAGGACCTTTAAGAACCTGGGCTTCACCTGCAAAACCAGAGCCCCAGTCCTTCATTCATCTGCTATCTCCTCAAGCTCTTTTCAGTGTATTGTGGAGTTCATTACCAGACTCTAAGCTCGCACGGAAGTGTACATCAGCTTTGTGATCTTAAAAGCAAAACAAAATCAAATGGACTAGCAATTAACTCGAAGCAGAGTTGTGACACAAGTGGTTTCTTGCCATCAGCTTCCACGCACTGCTTTAATATGCAATTTTATAAGATAGAGTTTTTTTCCATAATTTGACCTCAAGAAATATATTAATTTTGTCTTTAAGTTGAACAAAGTAAAATGTTTTTAATATTTTAAAATATTAATTGGTTCTCACTTATTAGGTGGGAATTGAACAATGAGAACACTTGGACACAGGAAGGGGAACATCACACACCGGGGCCTGTTGTGGGATGAGGGGAGGCGGGAGGGATAGCATTAGGAGGTATACCTAATGTAAATGACGAGTTAATGGGTGCAGCACACCAACATGGCACATGTATACATATGTAACAAACCTGCACGTTGTGCACATGTACCCTAGAACTTAAAAGTACAAAAAAAAAAGGAAAAGAAAAATACACATATAGACTGTGGTAGGGGGCGGCAGGGGAGATCAATTTACTTGTTGAACTGGTTCATATGCATTTTCCAGGCAACAGAAAATCTAAATTTGAAAGGAAAAAGGTGAGGAAGGGGAAGCTTTAGTAGCATCATTCAAGTGTGAGTATGTATTACTACATAGTCCCTGAAATAGAAGGGGCTTACATTATGAAATACTGAAAGATCTAAGAGCTTTGAAACAAAGTTGAAAACATATTGCTCAGTGGTAAATAAAGCAATGTAGGGTTTCAACTGTGCTATCCAATGTGGGAGCCACAATCCCAGGTGGCTACTGAACACCTTAAACGTGTTGGTCCAACTGGTATGTGCTATGAATGTAACACATACAATACACGTCAAAGGGTTGCTATGAAAATAAAAAAGAATGTAAATATCTCTAATTTTATATTGATTGTGTTGAAATACTATTTTTAATATATCAGCTTATAAAATATATTACTAAAATAAAATATTAATTGATATAATTTAATTGTTAATAATGCCTGTGTGTAAATGAAAGGAATAGGAAAGATGGAACTAAAACTAAAAACCAGATTTAAAGGAGACCTTAGATTTGACATAATAGATTTAAACTATTTTCTAAAACTCTGAAAATTGATTGTATCTAATTATTTCTAATTTTCCAGTAAAATCTGAATGCCTCATCAGAGATTCCTGAAAATTTATCAGCTCCCAAGAGCTGGTGTAGGCTAGCTCCAGCACACCACTGGGAGTTACCACTGGGGTTGCCTGGAAAGGGAAAACAAGACATCTTCTGGAGTGCCAGAAATGTTGTCTTCTGCTCTTTCTGGGTGTATTCAAAAATTCATGAAGGCAGGCGGGCACAGTGGCTCACACCTGTAATCCCAGTACTTTGGGAGGCTGAGGTGGTGCATCACTTGAGGTCAGGAGTTTGAGACTAGCCTGGTCATCATGGTGAAACCCCATCTCTACTAAAAATACAAAAATTAGCCGGGCATGATGGCAGGTGCCTGTAATCCCAGCTATTTGGAAGGCTGAGGCAGGAGAATCACTTGAACCCAGGAGGTGGAGGTTGCAGTGAGCCGAGATTGTGCCATTGTACTCTAGCCTGGGCAACAGAGCAAGTCTCCATCTAGAAAAGAAAAAAAAGAAAATCATGAAGGCGTATGCTTATTTGTGCACTTTTCAGTATGTGTGTTTTATGTCAGTAATAAAGAAAATGTACATATAAATGATCAGATTTATTAAACTTTCCACCAACAAATTTTTAAAGTTGGCAATAAAATTAAGAAAGTAGTTTAGAAAGAATTGAATTGCTAAATTCAAAATCTCCCAAAACCATTGTAAATGAAAGGGATAGGAAAGATAGAACTAAAAATCAGGAGAGATAAAAGAAGACCTTAGATTTAACACAGCCAATTTCAGTAATTTTCTAGAACCCTGAAAATGGATTATATCTAGTCATTTCTTATTTTGTTGGTAAAATCTTAATGGTCAAGTTGTCAAGTTAGCATACATTAGCAAAACTCTCAGCATGAGTCTAGCCAAAAGTTCATCATTCATATCTGTAGCCTTAATAGTCAGCACAGCTAAGAACCATAGAAAAGTTATCAGTGCTGACAATGTAAAGCAAAGAAGTTTAAAAAGTTAATAAATTTAAGCATGTAATATCAAATTTTGCAGTGGTTTGAGTCTGTGACATGAATAGATTATTCTTTGAAAACAAACAATACTTATGAATAGAGAGGAACTTTTTCATCTGATGAAGGACATCTGTGAACTATCTCCAGCTAGCATCATTTTTAAGAGTGAAAAATTTATTTTTCCTTAAGATCGGAAGGAGGCAAGGATATTTGCTGTCACTATGTCTATTCAATATTATATTGGAGTGCAGTAAGGCAAGAAAAAGAAATAAAGGCATAATGATTTCAATGAAAGAAATAAAGCTGTATTTCCAGACAACAATACAATTTCCAGACATCTACAGTGAAAACTATATAACATTACTGAGAGAAATTAAAGAAGATCCAAATAAATGGAGATTATATACCATATTAATGGATTAGAAGACCCAATATTGCTAAAATGTCTATCAATATTTATCTATGGATTAAATGCATCTATGATCAAAATCCAAGCAGATTATTTTCTAGAAATCAAGAAAATAATTTTGCAATTTATATGGAAATGAAAAAGGCTAGAACCAAAACAATCTTGAAAAAAAATGAGCAAATATTTAAATGACATATACTACAGGAGTTATAAAGTTATAGTAAGATAGTATATTACATGAAGATAGACAAAAATGGAACAAATA